GTATACTTTTAAAATCTTATGCAAATCACCATTCTATAAATTGAATCTCATGCTAACTGCACCAAAAGGCTATTTAAGGAAATGCCATGTTGAAATTTTTCACAAATAATCACACTCTTGTATCTGTTATCTGTTATGGAATTTTTCTATACTGGGTGTCCCTAAACCATGGTCTCCCCCCACAGCGCAGCATTCCTGCAGACGGGCATCCATTTCACAATGACAACAATGATGTTAAAATGCTTTACATCACTCTTTATTTCAAAAGTGTTTTGCTAACAGACTAATCTTCACGACATTCAAGGGAGGTAGATAAGTATTACACCACTTTCACAGATGGAAAAACTGAGGCAGAGATGAGTAAGTTGTGTTGAAGGGCATGACATATGGCGCAATTAGGAAAAGAATGTGTTGTAGTCACGGATCCTTGGCGACCTCTCCCATGACTTCTGAATACCACCGGCACAGAAGCAGCGGGTGCAGCCTGGAAGCAAGTCATTACTTCACCTCGCTGACGCCAGATGTTGTCTCCTGTCCTTCAGCAAGTACTTCCCTCACACGCATTTTCACACGACTACATCTCTAAAACCGGGAAAGTGGGAACGTTGTAGATACAGACAGAGGGGTTGGAGAAACAGGGCTGGGAGGGAGGAAAACAGAAGAAAAAACAAACATCTCAACGTGAGGGCAAGAACGAACAGGACCAGCTGGGAAGCTGCCCAACAGAAAGGGAAGCCACCGCGGAAAGGGAGTGTCATTCCATCTGAAAAGCCCAGGCATCCAGAAATGCTATTGAAAGGGTAATTCTTAGCAATGACATTACAGCGCCACTCTTCCTGGCTTTGCCAAATATAATTATCGGGTCCTTCTGACATTCCCAGGAGGCAGGAGAACCACTCCTTTCCCCTGGTCCAGACCCAGTGCTGATGTGATTGATCTGACACCGCGGAGGCTGCCGACAACTCAGATGCACTCTCTCACCATGCCACCCCTCTTCCTCTGTTCTCTTAAAAAAAAAAAGCCAATGCGTTTAGGGGCTGCAACAAGCATACATGGGGAATAACAACCCCTCTCAGCCAGTGCTCCTTTATACAACATGGGACATCTTTTTAAAATGAGATTTATAGATACCATCTGTCTAGAAAATAACTAAAGCTCAAGGTAAAGAAATCATCTTTTCTGATCTTTCTAGTATGAAGTCATTATAAGAGAAGGGGACTGACATACCACCAGCTGCAATGGAGGTGATGATGGCAGAGGCAGTACCAAATGAGTGGGGTGACAAGGACCCAGCAGGGAGGGGCTAATGTGTCAGATGAACAGGCAGCTGAAGAGGCGGGAATCAGAGCAAAGAGGTGACAGCCAAGGAAATGAGAGGAGATGCCAGTGTTTGAGGCAACGCACTAGTTTGTGTGTGGGTCTCTCTTAAGATGGGTCAAAGTCAGAAATGCATCCTTTCTTCCTTTATTTCAAGAGGCAGCATCATTATTTTTTAAAATATATTTTTATTGATTTCAGAGGAAGGGAGAGGGAGAGATAGAAACATCAATGATGAGCATCATTAATTGGCTGCCTCCTGCACGCCCCCTACTGGGGATCAAGCCCAAAACCCGGGCATGTGCCCTTGACCAGAATCAAACCCGGGACCCTTCAGCCTGCAGGCCGATGCTCTATCCACTGAGCCACACCAGCTAGGGCAAGCATCATTCTTTCAGGCATCTAGCTTTAAACTTTATCCCTCTTCCCCAACAAAAGCAATCAACTGCCCATCCTGTCTGATTCCACTTCTGCAATGCCCTTCACATTGGTCTCCCTCATTTTCTCTACAGCCTCCTCTGGATCCTCCTATCATCTCATCCTAATCAGGACCAAACCCTCTTACCTCATCTCACGGATCCCAGTCTCCTCTAATCTCAGTCTGTCTTCTAATCTGCCTCCTAGAGCACAACCTATGGACTGGGAGGTCATGGTTTGATTCCCAGTCAATGTGGGGCATGCAGGAGGCAGCCGATCAATGATTCTCATCATTGATGTTTCTGTTTCTTTCTCCCTCTCCCTTCCTTTCTGAAATCAATAACAATATTTTTAAAAATTAAAATTAAAATGAATTGAGATGGACCTGTTCTTGAATAGAGACACTACAAGTACCCTGTAACATGACCTGGCTCTAAAGATATAACAAATCCACTATATAACTTTGAGGGATGGGGCAGGGGTGGGTAGGTGGGACTTTTTTTCTTTTTGAGTCAAGAGACCTAGGACTGAGGTTCTGCTTTGCCATCCACTAGCTATGGGCCTGGTGCCAGGTGGTTCTTCTCTGAGCATTATTTCCTCACTTCTGCATGACCTCACAGGATATGAACTCTACTCCAATGTTTCTCAATCCCCAATTATATATCATAGCCCCCTAAAAAGCTGCCAAAAACTATAGCAGACCAGGCCCCAACCCAGGTCAACTGAATCAGAATCCTCCAGTAGCAGGACCCAGTGGGATTAATTATTTATAAAATACCATTTCTAATGCACAGCCAAGGTTGAAAACTACTGTTAGGAACTCATAAATACCACTAATGGTAGAACAAGGGGCTTTCGGCTGCTGACTCAATTATCCTTGATTTGTTCAGTGAGGAATTAGTTGGATGCTTTTATAGTTCCATTATGTGTGTGAGCATTTTCTTGTGTCCTACATTGTTGTTTGGGTCAATTCTGAGCAAATAATACCCAGCACACTGTGTACACAAAGATGTACCTAACCCCAATTTTTTTTAGAATAAGTCTAAACATCTTAGGGTCCTCTAAAACCTTGCTAAAGAGAAGGGTGGTGACCAGACAAGCAGAACTTGGCATAACCTGGGAGCTTGTAAGAAATGCAAAATCTCAGGTCCAGCTGCAGAACCTGCGTATGAACAAGATTTCCAGATGGACAGGTGAGGCAAAGGCAAATTTTTCTCATTCCACACCTGTGCTCCCGAGGGGGCGGGAGGGCATGAAAAGTCAAGTTCTGTCTCTCGTAAACTATTGAAGTTTGGGTCTTTATCCAGATGCTTCTTCACAAAAAGGTCCATTTGGTAAAAACTAAGTTAAGAACACAGATCCTTTCTTTTGAAGAAGACTAGTCTTCACAGGGATCCTTTAAGTAACCAGTTCCTTTAAGAGATTTAAAATATGATCATGTATAGTCCAGCTGGCATGGCTCAGTGGTTGAGCATCGACCTATGAACCAGGAGGTCATGGTTCGATTCCCGGTGAGGGCACATGCCTGGGTTGTGGGCTGGATCCCCAGTAGGGGGCATGCAGGAGGCAGCTGATCAATGATTCCCTCTCATCATTGATGATTTTTTTCCTCTCTCTCTCCCTCTCCCTTCCTCTTTGAAAACAATAAAAATATATTTTTTTAAAAATGATAATGTATAAAATGAAGTGAAACCCATTTGTTTCATGCAGTTCATAAATAACAAGTATTTGTGTACCTTACTGAACTTACAGTCCCTAAGACCCAAATTCCAAAATTATGAGGGAGGGAAGCTTAGCCAATGCAGTAAACTATTGACCCATGCCCTGGGACAATTATGATGTTAGCAGTACCCATCTAACACTGTGCAGACCACCCTATAGTCAAGGAGTTGTAGCAAATTCTGAACATTATCTAGACCAACTCCCTTGCTTTATGGAGTGGAAAGACCACAGTCAAGGATTAAAAGGAGTTACCCAAGGTCCCAGAGCACTTGAGACAGAACCAAGCTCAGAATTCAGGCCCTGACTCCTAGTCCTACACTCCCTCTACAGCCTCTGCCATACCTATTTCTCCCTCCCCAACCCATGGCCTTGAAATCTCATTCTCAGAAGCTGCTGACCAGCCGTAACTGTCACTTCCCTTCTGCCAGCTACTGCTGTGCCCAACTCTCAGGGCTGGTTTTAACACTAGGCTGCAGGAGAAGCCATATCACAGCTCAACCAAAATATCCATTTATCAATCCATATTTCCAAATAAGTTGATAATGGGTTCTTAAAAGCCCAATGCTAACTGTGTAATGTAAACTATATAGCATCACTATTAGCTAGCACCAGGAGCACGCTGAGGGAAGGATCCTACGGTGGCTAAAGATTAGAAACAAGGGCAATCATTAACTCAATAGTACAACGTAGGGGGAAAACTACAGAGGGAAGGCCAAACCTGGCACACAGTGGGGGAGGCAGCACCTTTAAAGAACACACACAGTGTGACTATAAAATTGCAAGTCTTTTCTTTTAATAAAACAAACATGACAGGATGTAGAAATCTAAACGAAATTTCTCCCTCAAAGTAGCTACATTCTTAGTTCCAACAGTGCTCCCTTTGTTGGCGACTTTATTTGAACTCCTCTTTGGGGAAAGACCTTAAAAAGTAAAAGGCAAAAAAAAAAGTAAAAAACAGTGGAGGAGCCACATCAGGAAATATCCTTCCACATGCTGGGCTGTTTAAAATCAGAAAGTCACCCAGCTGGCATGGCTCAGTGGTTGAGCGTTGACCTATGAACCAGGAGGTCAAGGTTCGATTCCCAGTCATGACATATGCCTGAGTTGCAGGCTTGATCCCCAGTGGGGGCATGTGGAAGGCGGCCGATCAATGATTCTCTCTCATCATTGGGGTTTCTATCTCTCCCTCCCTCTCCCTTCCTCTCTGAAATCGATAAAAATATATTTAAAAATAAAATAAAGTAATACAATAAAATAAAATCAGAAAGTCCACACTCAGAGGATAGGACTGGAAAATGAACGAGGTGCTGCAGCTCTCATGGAGGTTCCCTAAAGACCTCTAGCAAGTGCTGAGCGACAGCTTCACCACTTGGAGAGACGTGGGGCCTCCTGGGACAGCCACGTTCAATGGGAGGGCATCATTGGGACAGAAAAGTTCTACTGTCTGGTAAAAAAAAAAAAAAAGAAAGAAAGAAATCAGCCACACTCCTTTATAGTCACACTTGCATTGGATTTTTAAAAAAAAATACAACACTCACACAGGGTTCTTGTATGAATTCTAATTAAGAGACATTACATTCAGAATGATAGCACTCATAGTGATAATTTTCTGAAGACTATAACAGCTTCTTGGCCACGGAAGGGGTACAGAGGGTGCAGCTGTTTACCTGAACGTATTCTTAAATAAGTGACTACGACCACTCTACGTTTCCTAGTTGTAGCTCTGTTACAGGTGACTGACCACAAGTTCATGTTCCAGACTTTCTTTGCCAACACAGATCAAAACCACAAGGGAGCCACCCTCACAGTCTCAGGGTGAATTGGGAAAGGGCCGGTTAAATGAGGAAACAGGCCATTCCTTGGTAAAAGTTTGTAGCTTTCTTTCCCAATACATCTTCTTTTTATTGAGAACTTCCATTTTTATCCTGTGTTCCTCCTCTGCCATCTCACACTCTCGCTCTATCTGCTGGATTTTGGCCACATGCACCTCATTCATTTGTATCAGCTGCAGTTGTAAGATGGACATTTGTTGATGGTGTTCTTCCTCATGCATCTTTTTTAAAGCACCTTCCTGAGAGGTTTTGCTCCTGTAGTTTTTATTGGCTGTTATTCTGACAGCTGAACACGAGGGTTCAGGTTGAGAGGTCCCCTCACATACTGGAAAATGTATGAACTCTTTCTCATCATCGCACAGTTCTCTATTTGAAACAGCAAATGATTCTGAAAAACAGTAGCAGAAAACATATGTTCAAAGATTTTACAGGCAGAGAGCAAATCATCCTATTTCAAAGACAGGGTCCCCCAGTACAGGATGTATCTGAAATAGCATCTGCTTTGGCCTGCCTGTCTACACGTACCCTTGCCACACCTGACTTTTTAAAAACCCATAAATCCAAAGCAATTTTCCCTTAAGAAGTAATAATAAGGTGTTTCATCATGTCATTTCTAGAACTGCAGACTGTGGGAACAGGGTCAGAGACTGAGCTTAATCAAGAATCGATGATCCTGTTATGTTGATGTAAGTTCTAAACTGAAGTGTGCACAACTCTGAAAGAGCAGAAAACCGCAGTACAAGGCCAACAGTGGGTTTTGAGCTTAAGTTCTCCCTCAGTCTGATCTCCTTTGCTCAATTCCTCATCCAGCCATGAACACGTGTTCCAAGTCCAAAAGGGTGTCATCGCTCTGTTTCCTGGTCACTACCTTTCCCCTGGGTAGTTAACTCATAAATGTTCCTTCTTGCAAAATGAGCCTATCCTCCCTGGCTTAGCTTCCTTCAATCTATATCTGGCAGTTACCGCTAACACTGCCGCCTGGGGGTAAATATTCAGATCCAAAGACCCTTGTCAATGTCCTGCTTAGGTAACCTCTCCCTGGCACTTGACATACTTTTTGAAATGTCTTCCCCTCTATTAGCTTCTAAACCATCACCCTCTCCTAAATTTTCTACAACTTCCTCACTGATTGCTTCTTCTCAAGTCTCCTTTCGGGACTCAGACTCTTGTTCCACCCACCTCTAACCTTTTAATACTCCCCGAGGTTCTTCTCTTTGGCTGTTTTCAATCTACCCTAAGTAACCCTTATAATCTGGTTCTAACCTTCCTTTATCTTCTTTTCTTACTCTTCAAAATATCCTGTGCACCCTTCAATTACCACAAACTACTCACATTCTTAAAGGCCATGCTTTTCTTCACTATTCTGACTCACTGTTCCTTCAACCTGAAGTTGGATTATCCGTCCCCACCCCGCCCCCCAACTCACTCAAACACACACTCTTACTCCATTCTCCCTTTTTCAACCTCCCCCCAACTCCTACTTCCCTCAGGATCAATGCCACTTGCTCTGAGAACCCTGAGCTCTCTCCTTTCCCTACACTTACTCTTCTGTTACAGCACTTAACACATATGGGGTGGGGCAAAAGTAGGTTTACAGTTGTTCATACAGAAAATAATACAATAATTATAAAAGACTAATACAAGAATAAAGTCTGTGTTTTGCATACCTTGTACTAGTATTATTTTGGGACCATGCTTTATTCATGTCTTTTATCATTGAGACCAATGACTTTACCTGGTACACAGTGGGTACCTGGTAAATATTTACTGTCTGAAGCCTTGAACAAAAGGGGGAAAAAGCATATGATACAAAATTATGCCATTTTTGGTGGTGCCACATTGACACCACTATTTTTATAGGGCAATGACATTAGTATGAATCAGGGAGTTTCAATAAGGAAACCACTAAACCATGGAGTCTTCCCAAGGCTTTCTTGGGAAGTTTTACATTTTAAATAATGAGAATTGTCTCCTTGGAGAAAAATACTATTTATTCACAAGAGTTGATTACATTATTATGTCCACTCCATTATTCCAGAAGATAGGATGCTGTACATGTTAATGGCTAGTGGGGGAACTCACAATACTCTGTTAGTAAAAGGAAAATGGCTACTGTTTAAATCATTTCACTACAAGGGGTTGGGTAACAAGCATAATTAGTCCCTAATTAAGGTTAAAGAAAAGATAAAAATTTTACTTTTGAAAGAGAAGGTTAAAAAGAGTACTTCTGGCCCGGCTGGTGTGGCTCATTGGTTGAGCGTCGACCTATGAACCAGGAGGTCACTGACAGTTTGATTCCCAGTCAGCACACATGCCCGGGTCCGGGCTTGATCCCCTGTTGGGGGCGTGCAGGAGGCAGCCAATCACTGCTTCTCTCTCATCATTGATGTTTCTATCTCTCTCTCCCTCTCCCTTCTTCTCTGAAATACATATATATATAAAAGGAATACTTCTATACCATGCAGAGATAATGAAAATGTCTCCCTAGGAATCTTTCCCAAATCCAATGGCCCCAGCCTCCACCAGATGTCCTTCCTTCATGCTGCCACTGCCTCCTGAGCCTATGTCTGGCAGAGCACTTGTTCAAGCTGAAGCTTTAACTAGAATACTTTGAACAAAGAGACTAGCCTTTATTCATCCTCATAAAGAAGCCAGCACAGGGCCCAGTACACTGCTGGGCCTGTAAGAAATGTGTGGGGGACGAACTGGCTCCCACACAGCACAGCTAGGTGGAAAGAGCCGAGGCTCAGGACAAAGCAATGGGACACTAAGAATAGGTCCCTCAGATATGAGCATCAACGGTGAAGTGAATTACCTCATCCGTTTCCTTTCTAGTCTTAGATCTGAAAGTATCTTCTTTGAAGACTGGACACAGATATTTTTTGGTACCTTTAGCCTCTTTTCTCTTTGATTTTATTCCGGAGGATACTCCTGAGTTTATGCCCTCACAATCACTCTCTCTCCCAATATCTAAATGCTCATTTTTATCTCAACAATTCTAGGCTTTAGGGAGATGATGATGATGTTGATGATGATGATGACAGCAGCTACTATTTTCAGGCACTATGCTAGTGTTTTACAGGCATTACCTCATTTAATCCTTACAACAACCCACTGAAGGAGGTATTATTACAGAACATCAAACACAACATCCAAAGTGGCTAGTTGAAAGAACCAGGATTCCAATCCATGGCTTCACCATTCCAAAATCCAAGCTCAACTAGCACAACACCTAGCCTCTCACTACTTCACTTGCTCAGCTGATCACTTATGTATCTTGAAATGCAGCCTCCGCACTGTATTCACTACAAAACTATCTATTATTAAGAATGTAGATGTATATTCCAAATTTTGATCTCCAAATCTCTCTCTAGAGCTGTGAACATGAAGACAGTATGTTCATGTCTGGGAGTACAGAAATGATTGTATGTTACAACAATCCTTATTTAGCTTAAATGTGTGCTAACATACATATTTTAAAGAAAAAAGAAAGCCAGGCCTCTTGAGAAGATTCTAGCAGGAGCGGGGACCTAAAACTAGAGAAGCCTGATGAGGTAGTTAATTAACTCTCACACAAATATTAGCTCCCATGAATGAAAGCTAGTGTTCAGATGGGGAGAATCTTCTCTTAATTGGAAAAAGACTACCCTGGGAACGGCAAACACACACCATGTAATCTCTCTCCCAGGTAAAACAAAGCCACCCGAAGCAGAAAACAACTCAATCTTGTGCAAAATGGATATGAAGGCCTAAGGGCTTCCCTGGGACCAGAGAACACAGTCAAGGGAGCATTCTTTCATTTGGGCAACTCGAGTGAATTTAATACCAGCAGGAAAAGCCTACTATGGCAGTAAAAGAATGGGAAGGAAACTGTGTTCAGGCCAAACACCAGCTCTTCTCAACACAACAAAGGAAACAGGACTGACTGGGAGAATGAATAAATAAAAGGTGATAGCCGTAACTGGTTTGGCTCAGTGGATAGAGCGTCAGCCTGCGGACTGAAAGGTCCCAGGTTCGATTCCAGTCAAGGGCACATCCCCAGTAGAGGGTGTGCAGGAGGCAGCTGATCGATGTTTCTAACTCTCTATCTCTCTCCCTTCCTCTCTGTAAAAAATCAATAAAATATATTTGAAAAAATAAAAATAAAAAAATAAAAAATAAAATAAAAGGTGATAGATGCACAATATGCAATATTATGCATCAATTAAGAAAACAAATCAGACTGACATGCTGCAATGGGAATGGATCTTAAAAACATTATTCTAAGAGAAAAATGGCAAGAAAATGGTATCTATAGCACAATTTCTAATCTATTTAAATGAGGAAAAATATGTGCACAAAACAGCAATGCATGCTTTCAAGAACATGTGAGAGAACACATTAGATGATGAAGGGATGGGAGAAGAGAAGGAAAGTGCTGAATGGTGAATAAACATATAAGTAACACAAAAAGTGGGCTTTTCCCAGACCAGTGATGCCGGTGTGCCATGAGTGGCAATATAATCCAGTACCCTATACGTGAGTTCTCACCCCAGAAGAACGAAGTTGGAGTAAATAGTGGTAATAGTGGAATTCATTAAGGAATGTTTTTGTGTTAATTATAGCTTTGAGTACCCATGTCTGCATTATTTAAATAAAGCTTTATAAGAAATAACAGCATGTAAAATTAACTGTAAGTTCTCTTAAGATATATAATTACTATCTGAAAGCTTAGTTTGCTTAAATATATTTGACATTTGTCATCCTACCCTGCTGACCACTTCCAACATATTTTGTGGTTTCCCTTAGTTTGTTCTGCAAACATGTTCCCCAAAGATAACCTCACTTAACTTAAAATGGAAGATAAGTATCAAAGCCAAATTATCAAATATAAATCTACAGAATACAAAGTGTTTTAACATATTTAAGGGGAGAATATGGGTTTTTTGAAAATACATTAAGTGTTAAACTTACATTTTAACACTACTGAGTTCAAATACAGATGTACATTCAAGAAAGTCATTGACAAAGCTAATACTATCCTGGGTACAGTGATGAAGATGACAAAGGTGAAATTATCTCACACACAAAAATTGTTGAAGGGAGGCCTCTAGTGGAATACTGTAAGGCTCCATCCTGGTTAATAAAGTCCCACAATTCTCTGAGTGCCTAATTCTGCAACAGGTACTCTGCAATGTGCTAGAACAGTGCTGCCCTATAGAAATATAATATAAGCTACATATGTGATTTTAAATTCTCATACCACATTAAAGGAGGTGAAACTAATTATATAAAATATTTTTAAGTCCCACATTTCTAAAATATTATCATTTCAACGTGTAATTGATATAAAAATAATTAGTAAGAGATTTTACATCTTTTTTTGGTACTAAGTCTTCAAGATACAGGGTGTATATTTATAGCATGTTTCAATTTGGTCTACCCCCATTTCAAGGGTTTACTAGCCTCATGTGACTTCTAACTATTGTATTGGGCAGCACAGTATAAGAGATAATAACTAAAGTAAAACACATACATATGCACACGTGCACACACACACATCCATGTGTCAAAATACACATAATGTAATGAGAGCCATAACCCTATTGCATATTTTCAACCTTTTTCCCACCAGGACCCAGAAGGAATGATTGACAAGTTCAGCTTTCTTTTTATTTCCTAAAAGTAAATTAAATGCAAAATGAGTTGGGTAACACCAAAGCTGTTTTAATGTATAGAAAGAGATCCAGTACCTTAATTACTTGTGTTAACGGATTACTTTGGACATACTCCCCAACTAACAAAGCACCATGGTTCTCTGCCATACTACAAATTTGACCTGGAGACAGGAACAGGTAGCATTTGGCTATACTTTAATAATCACCAGCAAAAAGAGAAGTCTCATGTGCCATATTTGTACAAACATCCAATTTAATATCAATCTCTTTTACAAGTTGGTGTCTAGCAAATGTCATGACAGGAAGGACACTGAGAGTCCATATTTATCCCCTTCTTGCTGGAAACTTATCAATTGTGTTTATGAATACATGAATTATATCATTTCCTCCAAAAAGAAAGAGAAAAACACTTATGAACTTTCTAGATCCTACCCTAAAATTTGAAAATGGAGGGGGAATGAGACTGTCCTCTTAGAACAACCCTTGAAATCAATACACAATAATACAGATCAAAGATTTGCAAAGTGAACTACAGCAGTCTACACCAGCACCTTCCTAGGTAACATCTCCCAGGGAACATAAATAATTTGAAAAGTAGCCCTGCTGATTCACCTCCTTCCCTCCCACCCCAGCACCAGTCCCTTCACTGCCTCACAGGGCTCCAAGGTCAGCAAGATGGAGAGTAGCTGGCTGAAGCTACAAACATCTCGAAAACAAGAGCACTATTAGCAGTGGGCCTCATCCCTACAGGAGCAGCAACGAGAAGGGGCAGAACAGAGAGCTGACAGGTGTCCACATAAACACTGTTTGCTGGAAGGTACTGTGGCTTACGACTCAAGAATCAAAATTCAGACACAGAGCTCCTACAACTGGAAAATGATGCATGATGCGCATGACATTAACTACTGTGCTTGCTCAACTGGCTTCCTGGACTTAACCTTGGTCAGATGATCAGCAAGCAAACTTTTTTTTAAAATATATTTTTATTGATTTCAGAGAGGAAGGGAGAGGGATGGAAACATCAATAATTAGAGAGGATCATTTATCAGCTGCCTCCTGCACGTACCCTACAGGGGATCGAGCCTGCAACCCAGGCATATGCCCTTGACTGGAATTGAACCTGGGACCCTTCAGTCTCCAGGCCAACACTCTATCCACTGAGCCAAACCAGCTAGAGCAGCAAGCAAACTTTTGGTTGTAACTTAAGTTCTCAGGATAATCTGCCTACAGGGGAAAAAAAGTACTAATCGAAACGTGTTTTTCAGTTCACTTGGTTATTATCTTTTTCACCCTACACGGATAACACTCTGACTCTTAATTAACTAGTTCCTCAGAGCTCAAACTACTCTGAGGACACTAATAAGTGAATTTCTCATCCTGCAAGCCACAAATCAGATGTTCCTGTTGCTGTGTCTTTAGCACACCTTATGAGCAGCCTTCTGATCTTCCCAGACATTATTAAGTGTGTCTTGTGCAAAGTACAATGAATCTTCATATAAACTAGCCATTCTTATCTTAAAAGAGGCAGGAATTATTGCATTCTCTCACCCTCTTCTTGCCTGGAGACATTTCAATAGCCCCTTAATTCCAACCTTTTAAAGCTATGACATACTATCATTACTTCCTTGATTATATGACATCTTTTCCTTCCTGAAGAACTCTTTACTTTGGACACACTCCCCATGCTATATAACAGTGATGGCGAACCTATGACACGCGTGTCAGAGGTGACACGTGAACTCATTTTTTTGGTTGATTTTTCTTTGTTAAATGGCATTTAAATATATAAAATAAATATCAAAAATATAAGTCTTTGTTTTACTATGGTTGCAAATATCAAACAATTTCTATATGTGACACGGCACCAGAGTTAAGTTAGGGTTTTTCAAAATGCTGACACACTGAGCTCAAAAGGTTCACCATCACTGCTATATAACATGTTTATCTTTTCAACGAAAGTATATTAAAAAGAACATAATTTTTTCCCAGAATTCCTCAAGTTACCAGGAGTGCCGCAAACCAAAACTGTAGATCACAATATAATAGTGGGTGGAAATGCTGTTTTTTAATCTGGGTGAATGCTAAATGGGTATTTGCTCTATTAGTCCCACAACTTGAATTAAGTCTGAAATAGTTCACTCTTTTAATGTGGCCTTTTGCATGACTTCATGCAGTGCTTTGCACATTATCGGTCCTCAAGAAGCACTTCTTTGGAAAAAAAAAAAAGATCGAATGAATGAAATAAACCTTCGAACAAATCCACGTCAATATATCTGAGATAGGTTAAGATGAGCAACTAAAGTACTTCATTAATGACAACTATATTCATGTAGCCCCTTCGTTTTCCTTATTCTTAAGTAACAATAGCGATAAGAGAGATAGTACAAGGATATAAACAAGTACTTTTGTTTTTATGGACTATGTGACTTCAATGTTCTACATACATGGGAGACTTTGAATTGGGAAACTCAGGTTTGACATGCAAGTTTCTTTTTTATCAAGTCCCTTAGAATTCAGGATTTTAAAATTCACACGTCGAACAGGTACCCAGCGAGAACATGCAAGCCGAGCTCAGGGCCATACCATACCTTGGGCGGCGGCATCAGGGTGGTACTCGGGCTCTTCCTCGGGAGGGCTCTGCAGGAAGTAGAGCTGCTCGGGCAGCATGCTGGCGATCTTCTCCTTCCCCAGCACGTGGCTACTCAGAAGTGGGCTGACGCTGCGTTTCACTTTCTCTCTCCTTTCATGGGCCATAATTTTTTTCGTCCGAGCCTTGATGTTCTCCCAGCACTTCTTCAGCTGCTTGAAATCCCGCAGTGACACGCTGGGCTGAGAGTTGTACTCGTGGGCCAGCGCCTGCCAGGTCCGTTGCTTGAGGGCAATAGTTCGCGCATCACTTTTCTTACATTCCAGCACATACTTGTACTTTTCGACCAAAGCCAGCAGGATGCTCTTTTCCAATTCTGAGAAGTATTTGGCAGGTTTTATAATTTCGTTGTTTTGCATTTTCCACTCTATTTCTCCTGGCCGTTAGCTATCCTGTAAAGGGAAGGAGGAAACAATCATTACAAATGCCAGGAATAAAAATGTCAGCAAATCACTTAAAGCTAATCCCTGACTTGATCCCCTTGTCTGAAACACAGCACTCCTTTCTTTTCTGCTAATGTTGACTTAGGGCAGTCTCAGGAAAACAGAAGTTTACTCGGAGTGGGGTTTTAGTACTTCATAGATGTTCGAGTAGGTCCTGTGTTGGAGGCCTTGGCCATTCTAAGAATATCAGCAGAAATATAAAAGTTGGACATCCGTTATGGAATTTCAATATGGAACTCTAATTTGTTAACTTATCTATTCCTGCTTCATGTGAGGACACTGATTACTCCCCGAATTCAGAATGTTAGGCAGCTTTTCAACTAAACAGCTTTCTCTAAGTTTTGTCACAGCTGAAGACCGAGAAGCCACTGTGTAACCAAATATAAGAGCTCATGTAAACACTATCAAGATTTCAGAACCACCAAGAAATCACCCCAAACACCTGGCATTTCCATCACTATGTCTGTGACCTTGGATACAGCCAAGCTCCTAGGCCGTGGTTGGCAAACCGCGGCTCACGAGCCACATGCGGCTCTTTGGCCCCTTCAGTGTGGCTCTTCCACAAAATACCACGTGCAGGCGCGCACGTACAGTGCGATTGAAACTTTGTGGCCCATGCGCAGAAGTCAGTATTTTGTGGAAGAGCCGGTATTTTGTGGAAGAGAAACACTGAAGGGGCCAAAGAGCCGCATTTGCCGACCACTGGAGGAACCTCAGTTTCTTCATCTTTAAAATGAGGGCTTGGAATCTGTGGTCCTCAAGGTCTAAAAGCCATGTTAAAGTGGACAATCCTATGTAAATAATTTATATCATTTCAGAAGTGAAAGGGCCCGGGCACTTATCGAGACTGAGCCCAATACCTCCTTTTATTTCTTTTTTTTTTTTTCTGGACATTTCATACAAATGGAATCATACAATATGAGGTCTTTTGTGACTGGCTTCTTTCACTTAGCACAGTGATTTTCAACCTTTTTCATCTCATGACACACATAAACTAATTAGTAAAATTCTGTGGCACACCAAAAAATGTATTTTTTGACAATTTGTCAGACATAGGTATAATTTTTACTTCTTTAACTCTGGACAACTCTTGTTGTATTGGCTGTTGTCATTTTTAAAATTTGATTAAGCTAAGGGAAAAGAGGTCCGTGCCCCTGACTAAATAGTTAGGTATTGCATGTTTTAAAAATTCTTGTAGCACACCGGTTGAAAATCTCTGACTTAACATAATGTATTCAATGTATAGCTACCCTGTAGCATGTATCAATACTTTATTCCTTTTTACTGCCAAATGATATTATGGATATAGCACATCTTATTTATCCATCTATCCATTAATGAATTTTTATTAAGATATAATTGATATAAAACATTTATTATTTTCAGGTGTGCAACATAATGATTTGATATATAGAGAGCAAAATCACCACAATAAGTCTAGTTAACATCCATTAAACCACATAGCCACAATTTTTTTTCTTATAATGAGAACTTTGAAGATCTACTCTCTTAGCAACTTTCAAATAACCAATACAGTATTACTAATGATAATTACCATGCTGTACATTACATGCCTAGGACTTAACTATTTTATAGCTGGAAGTTTGTACCTTTTGACCATCTTCACCCATTTTGCCCACCCTCTACCTCTTGCCACCTCTACCTCTGGCAACTGCCAATCTGTTCTCTGTATCTATGAATGTGTTCCTTTTTAAAGATTCCACATACAAGTGAGATTACACATTATTTGTCTTCCTCTGTTTGACTTATTTCACTTAGCATAATGCCCTCAAGGCCCATCCATGTTGCCACAAATGGCATAATTTCCTTTTTTTGTAGCTGAATAATATTTCATTGTATATTTATATACATATATCTCACATATATTGTGTATATGTGTGATGTGTGTATTATTTACGTCATATATATCACATTTTCTTTATCCTTCTTTTCAATCAAGGAACTAAGGGCCAGTGAAGTGAAATGGATTGCCCAACATCACAAAGATGGCAACTTGAGAAGTCAAGAACCTGGACTATCCTAATAGTTTGGTATTCTTTTTTTTTCCTTAACATAGCTAATAGCCATTTTTATTATGCAATATTCCTCTAATGTCTTTGTTCGCATATTATAATAAGAGTTACCAATTATATATTATTTTAAAAAGTCAAAATATTACATTTTTCTCCATTATTATTAAAGTCTACATACCTTTTCATTTTTAATAAAAATTATATATATTTAACATACATAAATTTATTTTGATATATATATACATAAGTGAAATGATTACTACATTCAGGCTAATTAACATATTTCCTTACAGCTACTTTTGTGTGTGATGAGAACACTTGAAATCTACTCTCTTAGCATGTATCCAATGTTCAATACAGTGTTATTAACTATAGTCTTCATGCCTACATACCAGATCTCTAAAGTTATTCATCCTATATAACCACTACTTTGCACCCTTTGTCCAACATCCCCCCTTTTCCCCCCACTCCCCACCTTCAGTCCCTCATAAGCAATCTTCTATGAGTTTGAAGAGTCTGGTGTTCTTATTATCACTTCACAACTATTTCTTGGGCTCTTACCTTTGGTGACTCCAAATTACTCAATCATGACTCCCTTAGGTCATCATGCCACCCTCACCCCCGCCCAGTGCAGAGCCAGCATCTTTCACACAATAGGTGCTTAGGAAAGGTCTTATTCTGCCGAAACTCTGTGTGTTTTGACCTCACACTTTTCTCACATCTCACAGGAAGTTCCCTACAAAAGTAATCTCTCAAATACATTATGGCAAGAATGTCGCTAAGCAACAATGAATGCAGCAATAAAGCATGTTCCCATTAGTGAAAGGACCAATATGTCCCAGTCCTCCTGTTCTCCAAGTCTGATTTTTCAGTGTAACAGAAAAGCATCAAGACAGTGATGATATAGTCCATTTAAAACTGACTAACCCGCCTGACCTGTGTGGCTCAGTTGGTTGAGCATCATCCCATGCTCCTAAAGGTCAATTCCAGGTCAGGGCACATGCCTGGGTTGTGGGCTCATCCCCAGCAGGGAGTGTGCAGGAGGCAGCTGATTGGTGATGTTTCTCTCTCATTGATGTTTCTATCTCTCTATCCCTCTCCCTTCCTCTCACTCTAAAAATCAGTAAAAAATAAATAAATAAATAAATAAAGTTAGGGGGAAAAGGCTGTGACCTTTAAATTTATGGTACGCTAATTTAAAATCACACTTTTACAAGCTAGCTATTCACACACTATGCCTGGGGAGAAATTACTGTAGAAGTGACTAGCTGAAATCTATTAAACCTGAGGCTGGAGATTTGGTCAAATCAGAGAGCCTTGAGATTGAGGCCAAGGAGTGTGGGCTTTACATGAAGGCAATGGAAGCTGACCAGGGCCTCCCACTCTGGCACCACCTCCTCCCAAAAATTAAGATTAGATGAAGTACTACCGTGATCAGTGTCTCCACATACCAGGTACCCTGTCTCACATTCATTGTGGGCACATCCAGTATCAGAAATGAAGAGGTCTAGATATATGTCAATAGTAGCTTGGCCCTCTGGTCTTGGGCAAAACTAAAATAAGGGGAAATTTATCTTTGCAGATGTGTCCCTGTACCCCTAAATTCCCAGGCCTTCGATTATATTGCTCTACTGTTCCTACAATTACCTAATCCAGGCTCCTTCTTCCCCAAAGACCCAGAATTAATTTTTTGTCTTTATCAATATTCCTGCTTCCTGTAAATCAGTGTTCCCCAAACTGAAATTTATTAACACACATCTCCTACATCTCTTCGGCATCATCTCTCTCCACCAAGATGTTTGTGACTAACTTTACTTTCTATAGTTTTTATTAGGAAATCAATAAGTATGCTGAATATCCTTAAACAGTTCCCAGAGTAGATTCTGATCTGATCCCCATCCTAACTCCTCTGCCCCAAGACATCAAAATGCCTACTTTTCCTCATGTACCCACACTTTTTTGTTCTTTTAAATATACTTTTATTGATTTTAGAGAGGAAGGGAGAGGGAGAGAGAGAAACATCAATGATGAGAGAGAATCATTGGTAGGCTGCTTCCTGCAAGCCCCCACTAGGGACTGAGCTCGCAACCCAGGCATGTGCCTTTGACCAGAATCAAACACAGGACCCTTCAGTCTGCAGGCTGACGCTCTATCCACTGAGCCAAACCAGCTAGGGCACCCCCACACGTTTTAAGAATCACTGCCATAGGATTGAGAATCTGATTCACAAATGAAAAAGTTATTGTTCTCTATTTTGTTCTATTATATGTAATATTCTTTATCTATAATAACAAAAGTGTAATATGCAAATCGACCGAACGGCCAAACAGCAGAATGACTATCTGGACGACCTTCCAGACGACCTTCCGGACGAAGCCGGGGCTGCAAGGGTGGTCGAGGCAGCCGGGGCTGCGAAGGCCTACTCTTGCACGAATTTCGTGCATCGGGCCTCTAGTATTTTTATAAATATATCACATATATTTATAAATATTTATATTTCATATACTTTATTCTTTATTTCTTCAAGATAAGTCCCTAAGGGAGGAATAGTTGCCAAAAAAGATGCAAACACTGAAGACTTTTGTTACATCACCATCTGTCCTCCAGAAATGGTGCACCAATTTACATTCCTACTATTAACACACGAGTATGTCTGTTTCCACACTTTATTTACTCTTGCTGTTAACATTTTTTAAAAATCTGTGCCAACTGTGGAGGTGAAAAGTGTCACTTCATTGTTTAATGATATATGAATTCCAGTTCTGAGGCAAATGAGCCACACTCTGAACAAAGTCCCTGTTATACTACTTGGTGGAATTCAAACTACATGCAATTTAATTCTTCCTCACAATGTATGCAGTGCCACTAGCTGCCACCAGGTGGTGGTGGGCTCATGGGGGGTCTAAATTCACAAAAGAT